GGGGGGGTGTCTGCAACTTACCTGGCTGCTTCTTGCTCTGAGGGCTGCTGGGAGCAGGGGGTGGGGCTTGTTGCATGTGCCCACCCCCTGGACTCTTTACTGCCGGAGCTCTGCTCCTGTCCGCTCCTGCAGGAAATGACCCCTGGTGAGAGCTAGCTCACAGTTTTTTTAGCCTCCGGCTCACACATTTTTAACTTAGCTCAGGAAGGAGGGCTCCCCGATGTTATTTAACATCTACATGCGCACCCTCCTCACCCAGATTGTCTGGAAGCACAGGCTAGGTGCCATCAATACGCAGATGACACCCAGCTCTATCTGTTGTTGGGCGGTCAGTCCGACTCTACCGCAGATGACCTGGAGTGGGCGCGTCAGGACGTGGTGGCCTGGCTTAGACTGAGCCGATTGAAATTGAATCCAATGAAGATGGAGGTCCTGTGCCTGAGTCGGAGCAGATGCAAGTCGGAATGGATAGAAAGATGTAGAGATCTCCACTCCGACTTGCATCTGACGAAGGGAGGCTTGACTCTCAGAAGCTCATATCCGGAAAATCTGATTGGTCTCTAATGTACTCCTGGACTCGAATCCAGCTCTTGTATTGCAGACCAACATGTCCACCCTCTGAAATTATTTTGAGGCGGAGCCGTTTGGTCTGTTCAGTCGTCACCACTTCAAAAACTGAGTTTGTGGAAATTCCTTGGGGGCCCTTTGGAGAGGTGGGAAACATAAGACGGATCTACCTTGACTCTCTCGTTTCCCAACAGGAGGCGGAGCCTGCAACCCAAATACAGACGCCGCCAATCTCCCGAACCTCCGAACAGGTAAGCGACTGCCTCAAAATCCTCAAATCAGCGTCTGTCCCCCCCCCCTGCCCCGACATCAGTCTGCCCAGGCCCGTAGCCAGGATCTTGTGGCTTGTGGGGCAATTTTTTTCCTGGTGGGGCTGAAGTTCTCACTGCAGAAAGAAAAGCCATTTAACCGATAGAAAGCTGTGACCAGGATAGATCTCTAAATTGCAAGCTGTCAACCACTTTAGATGATAGTTCTCAGCGGCTGCAAGTTAATCACTTCTGCCAGCCTAAGCAACAGTTCTGAGAACAAGCCGGCAGGTAGGGGTGGTGACTTCTCTAGTCAGGAGAGCTAACACTTAGGCAGAAGAACTCTCCTAAAAGAGACCAGTTCCTTGGCACAGAATAAGAAGGGATCCTAGAGGTCACCTACTCCAACCCCCTTGCTCAGTGCGGGAACCAGCCAACTACAGCACCCCACTCTGCTTTAAAGGAGCGCTCACCTTTAAAAAAATGTTTTAAAATGATTGGGAAAAGCATTTACAGGAGAACGTCTTGTGGGGCTGTGCCTTTAAGAAAGGGGGGGCAGAGCCCCGAAAAGCCCACCATAGGTACAGGCCTGATTCTGCCACTTTTAGCAACAGATTTGGTCTGTTTTGTGTGTGTGTGTGTAGTTAAATCCATTCCTTATAATTTTCTCTCACCCAACCTTCGGGGACCCAGCTTCACAATCATAATAAACAAGAAGCAGGGACCCGCAATACTTGCGGGAGGGGAGCTCCAGGTGGAGGAGGAGGAAGCAGCCGCAAGTGAGCCTTCTCCCCCACCCACCCCCGCCCCCCGGCAACGACGCCAAGGCCTGTGCATCTACCAGCTGCCGGCCTGGTAGGAAAGATGCTGACAAGCTCGAGCGTGTCCAGAAGAGGGCAACCAGGATGGTGAGAGGGTTGGAATCCAAGTCTTACGAGGAAAGGCTGAAAGAGTTGGGTCTGTTTAGCCTGGGAAAGAGAAGGCTTAGAGGGGACACGATTGCAGTCTTCAAGTATTTGAAGGGCTGTCATGTAGAAGATGGAGCAGATCTATTCTCTCTTGCTCCGGATTGCAAGACTAGAGCTAATGGGTGGAAATGACAAGGGAGTCATTACCGGCTAAATATCAGGAGAAACTTCCTAACTGTAAGAGTGGTTGAGCAGTGGAACAGTTTGCCTCGGGAGGTGGTGGGTGCTCCTTCGCTGGATGTTTTCAAGCGGAGGCTGGATGACCATCTTTTGGGTATGTTGTAGGTATGTAGGGCTCTCTTTCGACTATGCTCCTGCAGAGTGCAGGGGGTTGGACTAGATGACCTGCAAGGTCCCTTCCAACACTAACATTCTATGATTCTATTATTCTAAGCCTTTTCCCCCACCCCATCACTGACGGCAAGGTCTGCGCAGCTCCCAGCCGCCGACCCACCAAGCCTTCTCCCCCCCCCACAACAGCTGGGAGGCACAGTTCCTTTTGGGGGGATTTAAGTATCCCCCCCTATAGTTTTCTCTACATTTCAGATTTTTCTACACGCCTGGGGAGTGCCCCAAGTGTGCAGGGAAACCTCTTTGCCCCCTAGGTACCCCAGATGTGCGGATTTAGATATCCACACGCAGAGGGGACCTTGGCTATTAGATGTATAGATACAACCAGCAGCTTGAAGTGTGCAAGAAAACAGGAAAGCCATTTCCCAGCTGAGGCTGGCTGGCTTCTCTCTATCCCTCCCCCCTGCCAGTTAAGAAGGGTAATAATTCACTCTCTGCAACCGTGGTCTCTGACCCTCTAACCTTTCGCACAGTGTGTTGAGTCCCAAGCTTCCTTTCAAAACTTGGGATAACAACAACCCAGGCAATCCACCAGATTCAGAATGCTCAAAACTGGCCTTTTATACACGAAACTGCCTCATTGCACACACCTGCCTTTGATGACGTAGTACACATTGGGTTGAGAATTTCTAAAGAATTTCCCAGACCTTTTGATAGTGGTTTCTCAGAACCTCACCTGGTTCTTTAGTTTTATGTCTTTCACCTCTTTCTCTCCCTTCCTCTTCCCCCTGAAAACCCCCCCCCTTTCCAGGAATCACAGGAAAGACAAGCAGCTGAAGTGGAGGCCTTGGAAAGTGAACTGGGCCGCCTTGTGGGGCAAATTGAGGCGCTGGAAGGCCAGATGGCCACCCTCGGACTGACTCTCACACAGGTGAGGGGCGGCAGCATACCTGGTGTCATCCTGCGTTGGGCAGGGGGTTGGGCTAGATGGTCTGTATGGCCCCTTCTAACTCTATGATTCTGTCTGAAAGGGGAAAGTGTCTCTGATGCCCTCTA